GAACTCTGCTACCGTAGCTTGTAAACTTGGCATGGTTTACTGCCTTGCCTGAATGCACCTATAAGGCTTTATTAAATAAACTGCTCAGCAAGCTGTGGCTTAAGACACTGCACTAACACCTTCAAGGTGATTTATTTGATTGTGAGATGGGAAGAGTCAGCACTACCCACTCCGGAGGAACGGCTGGTGAAACTGACAGATATTGCTGAAGTGGATAAATTGACTTCTTTGGTTAGAGAAAAGACACTATCTACATTTATGGGTGACTGGAAACCTCTTATGGACTTTTTGCATAAAAATGAAAAAAAAATGAACTTGTGATTAATGGTGTTGATGATGAGACAGGATAGGTTATAGAAAAAAGAGTATTATGATGTAACTTTAGAGAGAGAGGTTAAAATAGAATTGCATTTATCACTGCTGTCAGAAGCCACTGCTCTGTATCTTTTTTCTCTCCTTTCTATTTTCCTTTCACATTTTTTTACACTCTTTGCTTGCTTTCTTTTTCTCTTTTTCTTCTTTATATTAGTTTGTATTTGTTTTTATCTTTTTTACAAGTTTTAATAATAACACACACACACACACACACAGAGTGACTTATTTGATTTTGATCCCTGTGGGGAGAACCCAGCCTTCCATGGCTTAGTCATGAAACCCTGGCTTAGCCCCAGAGCTTTGTGTTCCTTCATACAGAAATTAGATCTGTAACACTAAAGGCCACTGGGGGGGGGGGGGGGAAACAGCATCCAGAAGAGGAACCAAGCTCAACAGGAGATCAGGATGCCATAATCTCTTGGACGATTCAGGAGACTGGCAAAATATGTATTTTCATTGCTCCGTGAAGCACTGTACTAAACACTTTTTGTTGTTTTGTTTCTGGCTTTCCTGCTTTATCACCAAATGCTGGAATTGTGGAGCTGGAAGGGACCAGAAGGATCACTTAGTCCAACCCTCTGCAAGGGGCAGGAGAACCAATGGGACCATCTATGGGAGGGGGCTGTCCAGGCTGTTCTTCAAAACCTCAGAGGTGGAGAACCCACAATCTCCGTAGGGAAACTGTTCCACTGTTGTACAGATCTTGCCATCAGGAAGTTTCTCCTTGTATTGAAACAAAATCTAGATAATTACAATGTAGATCTGATGTTCCTGGTCCAAGTTTCTGTGGCCATGGAAGATAGACCGTGACCATCTTCCTGGTAGCTTCCCTTGATGTACCTGAACATGGCTAGCATCTCTCCTCTAGGTCTTCTCTTCTCCAGTCTGAGCATCCCGAGTTCCTTCCGCCTGTCCTTGTAGGACCTGTCTTCCCATCCCAGGATCATCTTGGTGGCCCTCCCCTGAACCTTCTCTAACCTGTCAATATCCTTCTGGAAATGTGGTGCCCAGAATCGCACACCACACTCCAGTGTGGGCTGGGGGACAAGGAGGACTTCATGTGTCTTTGACGCGATGCTTCTTCAGATGCAGCCCAGAACCGCCTTAGTCCTTCTAAGAGCTGCTGAGATGTTCCATTCCTGGAGCCAACGTGTTGGCCACAGAATGTCAGCAAACGGTTTGTCTCCCGTGAGAGAATGGAAGGGCCCGTGGGGTGGGGAGGGGAGGGCGACACTCACTGTGGCTGGTAGAGGGCCAGAGTCAAGGGGAAGGGATGCCCAGCACCAAACAGAGAGGAACAAGGACTTCACGTGACTTGGCTAAAGTGCTTCTTCAGATGCAGCCCAGAAC